GGAGAATTGATGCCTTTGAGCTGTGGTGCTGGAGAAGAGTATTGAGAATACTATGGACTGCTAGGAAAACAAACAGATTCGTCCTGGAAAGAGTTAAACCGGGTGGCTCCTTGGAGGCAAGGATTCTAAGGCTCCGTCTAACATACTTTGGACATGTTGTGAGGAGAGACTGGTCCTTGGAGAAGGACATCTTGATTGGGAGGGTGGAGGGACAGCGCAGGAGGGGAAGGCCCTCTATGAGGTGGATTGATTCGGTGACTGGGATAATAGGGATGGGAGTGTCAGAGACAGTGTGATTGGCACAGGACAGAGCAGAGTTTATGTTGTACATAGGGTCACTATGAGTCACAAGTGACTTGACGGCACATAACAACAACAACAGAATATAACTATCTGTGTGCCAATAATTGTGTAATCATAGTGATAATAGAGCTATATATGAAATACTTTTATGGACCTTTTCCTAAGGTCACTTTTACTTACTTCAGGAAATTGACTTGAAAGTGACCCGAAACTTCATTTACTTTTCTGGCAAATATATTTCTCAAATGTTTCCTTTAACATGTAATTTGTTACTAGCACCAAAGTCTAAGTCTGAATTAATTTCATCACTTCCTTTCTTATTTCCTTACTAAGAGCTGTAACTTGTTTTGTGGTGTTAATAACTTTAATTAATTTATATGTACTTGTTATAAAAATATAATGAAACATTATGTTATTATGTGCCTTCAAGTCAACTGTGCCTTATAGCAACCCTATGAACTATCCATAGATCTGAACCCTGGCCCTATCCTGTGCCCTCCACACCATCTCTGATATACTTGAGCTTATTGTTACAGTGATTGCGTCAATCCATCATATTGAGAGTCTGCTTATTTCTCTGACCCTCTTCCTTTCCAAGCATGATGTCTTTTTCTAAGGACTTACCCCTACTAACAACAGGCTCAAAATATATGAGGTAAGCTTAACCATTCTTGCCTTTTTTAAAAAGTCACCCTGGTTGCACTTTCTCCAAGACATATTGTGTACTAGGGAGTCCCAACCAACCTAGAGCTGACCTTCCAGCAGATTTTCAAAGGCAGTTAATCACACAGGAAGATTTTGCTCATCTTCTTGCAGAACATCTGGTAAATTTGAACCACATTCCTTTGTAATTGCAGTGCAGTTTCTTACCACTCGACCACCATGGGATATTCAATACTCTTCTCCAACACCATAGCTCAAAAATGTAGATTTCTCAATTATATGAAGAGTGAAAGTTACATCACCAGCCTCTCCTAGCCATCTGTTCTACTCAGTGTATTCACCTTTAACTATTTGTATGTAGAAGTGATATTTCAAGGAGCTTTGATACAACATGATTTCAATGGTAAATGTCATTTCAGGTTCTGAGCAACATTCATACTGTTAGAGCCATGTGGCACCCTAAAAAGCCCAAAACCTGGACCTTTTCACCCCAGGTAAGTGCTGGCGGGAAAGGGAGTTAATGAAAAATTGGACTTCCTTACCCTTCAAAAAGGACCTAATTAATTTCCCAAACAATGCTCTCAAAATATATTCCTGAAAGAACATTTAGCACAGTGTCTGTGGGGACAGATTAGCATCTTTAAGGTTCTTTCATTCTTTAAAGTTTTCTAGAGTCCAAGTTTCTTTGAAAAGTTTGATTAAACATGCTATCTCTGACTCACCAAATGTATATGAATCTCCTCATTCAATGAGTTTCCAAGGTTCCTTCTTGAAATACGTACATTTGATGAGAAAACAAAAAGACAGAATCAGGAAATCAGACGTGGTTTGTTTGGCTGGTTTCTGGTTTTTTAGTGACAACTAATGCTTTCTGTTGATCGGGCGTCAGACAGGGTCTGAGATTTACCTTGCTCTTCCGAGCACCATGCCCCCCCCTGAGAAACACCATCCTTTATTACAATGTTTTGTGGTTCTGATATTGCTTCTCTGTATAAGTGAAAGACTCAGCAGCATTTTCTAGTAATTCCCAGGATTTAAGAGCAGCTGTTAGGGAGAGTTAAGGAATAAATGTGTTTGTTTTTTTGGATGAGGTAAAGGTTCTTTTGTGTGCTGTGTAAGGCATTTTTCCTGGGTATGGTGGCAGGGTTTTAGGCTGTTGGTTGTATTTTGACCACTTGGGTGTTTAGGAGAGGAACACCTGCATGTATAACAAGAGCCCCTTCCCAGGCAGACATTGTGCTAAACCCATGGCGTGTTACCCTGCTTAATCTGTACAGCAACCCTGTGGAGGGAGCATATTGAATGGAGTGACTACGTGAGCAGTCACTCAAGGTCAACTTTGTGATCATGGGGCTCCGTGTGCAATGGAAGTACAAAGAATGGAAAGTGAATTCTAACCCTTCTCATCAGGGAAAGTTCTGTAGAAAAGAAGACTAGGACTTGAGGAATGAATGAGCTTTTCAGAAAGAGAGATAGAATTGTGCAGGGAGAGGGGATTGAAACTCAAACTTAGCACCACTGAATTGGAACTGACTCAAAGCTGCTCTTCCAGTGAATTTTGGGAAGCTGTAAATTGCAGGGGAGGTGTTTCCCTTGACTTTCTTCTTCAAAGTGGCTGGTGAATTCAGACCAGCAGAGGCACCACCTCTACATTAGCAGTGCAGGTGAGGAAAAGGGAAGGTTCATCAGGACACTAGAGGAAAGTGGAGCAGATGTTTGTATTTGGTCTTTAAGTTTTATTCTGTTCCCAAAGAAAAATCATTGGCGTAAATATTCTGAGTGCAACGAGCTGTTGTGACAGTATTTGAAGTACTGGCCCCAAACATCAGTGCTTTGACGACTCCAGCGCTTCACAGAAAAGCTGTCACACTGCTCTGCTCTCTGTGCTGTAGGGTCCTGTTGAGTTGGAATTGACATGGTAACAGTGGGTTTACTATGTGGACAGTTTTTTGTAATACTTCTGGGAACCTAATATAGTATTTGCTTTACAGTAACTTTTCTTCTGCTTCTACTCATTAACCAAATAGTCAGTGAAGGAAGGACCTGTCCCTTAACCAGATGTATAGAATGGAAACCTCTGCCTTGTTTGTTTGTTTGTTGTTTCAGGTCCCTGGTGTCTTGCCATGCCTGCTGGACGGTGACTGTTTTGTCAGGTCTAATTCCTCCTCTCCAGACCTGGGAATACTGTTTGAACTCGGGATTTCTTATATTCGCAATGTATGTATGGCACTTGAAGGATTTGTAATATCATTTAAAAGAGACCTTTTCATTTTCTTATTTTTTTTAAAAGGGCTGTGTTTACCAGTGAAATAATTGAGGGTTTTATGTATAATGGAATTTTAATCCTTTGAGGAATGAGAATGGTAGAGATTCTAGTTTTATGTTACACTTTTCCCAGTCACATTCAAAGTAAAGGGTATTTGCTGGTGTTTATTGATGCAGTGACCTCTCATGATTTGAAAAGGTTGAAGATTGGAGATGAAATTGGCAGGAAGTCATAAACAATGCTCAGCAGCATCGTTTTAGCTCAGGCTTTCTGCCCGTTCCAATGTTGGGGTACACCAGTATACTTAATCCTGTAGCTTAGGTACTGGCCGCTCAGCAACATCGTCTCATCTCAGGCTTTCTTCTCATCTCTGATGTCAGAGTACACCAGTATACTTAATTTTATCATTTAGGTACCAGCTAGCATGGTAAATTTACAAAGTGAAATTCAGAAACTTGGATTAATTTATGTCATATACACTCTTTAATCATTGGAAGCACACAGGTCTGTAATAATATGAACTTGACCTCATGGTAACCCATTTCTCGTAGTTAAACTCATCCCTGTGGGGCAGAGTAGAGGAGCAGTTTCTCCAGTGAGCCCTGCTGGCCTCTAGTCAGTGACAGTGTGAGAGGGGGTAAAGTTCCAAGTTAAAAAACAAACCCAAGTGATAGCAGTTCTCCACAGTGAGTCTCACTGAAACAGAGCTTCATAAACCCATGTGGTATTAATGTGATTTGAAATTAGTCCATAAATTGTCACTCAAGACAAGAGTGACAGTTGCCACACTGTGAGGGTTAAGGAGTTTTCAAGAAAAACTTGGACAAAAAATTATTTTCTCTTTATGTATTACTTATCTGACCTACAGGTAAAATGTAGGGTTTTTGTTTGTTTGTTTGTTTGTTTTATTGTGAAGATTGTTTCTGACTTAAATACTAATTCTTTTTCCTTTGAAAGTATACAGTGTATACTTATAAATTTGTCTGGTTCAGATATTAAGTTCTATGTACTTGTTTTATTTCCTAGTCAACTGGTGAAAAAGGAGAATTAAGTTGTGGCTGGGTGTTTCTTAAGCTTTTTGAGACCAGTGGAATGCCTATTTCAACAAAGTAAGTTGGCTATGCATTCTTTCCAAATGAATTATTTTATGCAAACTAATCTTTTAAAATTTAGATACTTCAAGTTTGTGCTGTATGACTTAGAAGTGTGATCCTTCAAAATAGAACACTAGGCCAGGCTCAAGGACCCAACTAAATTTAAAAACCAAGGCACCCCATGAGGTCCTTCATTCCACAGTCCTTCCCAATCAAACATTCCCCTTGGCCATCACCAAAACAAAAGTATATTATGCTTAATATATAAATGATTAATATATTTAATATAAAAAAGTATATTATACTTAATATAAGTATTTTTGTTGTTGATTGTCTTTGAGTTGAGCACGCCTCATAGCGACTGCATGAACAAATGGCCTGAAGCCCCTCTGCAACCATTGGCATTTATCAAAGTTGATAAAGTTTCTGGCATCATGCTATTTTGGAAGTGGATGCCACTCCTGCTTCCAAAATATAAATATTACAACAATATTAATATACTTAATATTAAAAAGTAATATTAATATACATAATAGAAACATTAATTGTAATATGTTTATTGTTGTTATGTGCCGTCTAGTCACTTGCGACTCATAGCGACCCTATGTAGAACAGCCCTAAACTCTGCTCTGTCTTGTGCCAATCAGACTGTATCTGACACTTCCATCCCGATTACTCCAGTCACTGAATCAATCGCCTCAAAGAGGGCCTTCCCCTCCTACACTGTCCCTCCACCCTCCCCAGCATGATGTCCTTCTCCAAGGACTGGTCTCTTCTTACAATATGTCCAAAGTATGTTAAACAGAGCCTCAGAATCCTTGCTTCCAAAGAGCCACCCAGTTTAACCTTTTCTAGGATGAATCTGTTTGTTTTCCTAGCAGTCCATGGTACTGTCAATACTCTTCTCCAGCACCACAACTCAAAGGCATCAATTCTCCTTCTGTCCTCCTTGGTCATTGTCCAACTCTCTGATGCATAACAAGTGATTGCAAAGACCATGGCCTGTATCACCATTTGACCCAGCAATTCCACTACTGGGAATATACCCTGAAGAGACCATAGCTGACACCCAAGCAGATATATGCACACCCATGTTTATTGCAGCTTTGTTCACAATAGCAAGGAGCTGGAAACAACCTAAGTGCCCATCAACAAACGAATGGCTAGAGAAGCTGTGGTATATTCGCACAATGGAATACTATGCTGCATTAAAAAACAAGGAACTCATGCAATATTATTCAAAATGGTTGACTCTGGAGAACATTATGCTGAGTGAAATATCCCAGTCACAAAAGGACAAATATTACATGATGCCACTGTTGTAGAATGGGACTGTCCTTGGGGTTGGGGAGAGACTGAGTAAGATGGGTTCAATAATGTATACTGCACTGAAACAGAGGAGGGAGAGAACCATTTAAAAGAGAGATATAACTGGGTATTTTTGTCATCACAGGAGACTAGAGCGAGGGCTACATGGTGGAGGGGACCTGGGGGAGGGTTTGTAAAACAATGAAAGAATCTTTTCTTTTACTTTTCCATAATTTTTGGACTCATGTACTTATAACTTGTTAGTCAAATTTGTGTCTTCTAGGTTGCAACACCCCCATGATACATCTTCAAGGATATGAGCATGTACGGCCAAGCACAATCAATAAGAGTGCATCTAAATTCCAAAATCAATCTCCATAATAGTCTATGTGTTTCCTACTGCCAAAGGGGCCCTTTAGAGTAGTGAGAGAAGATCTTCACCCTGAAACCCACAGCGTCCCTTTTCAGCAGGAAGTAGCTAAGAGAATACGCCATCCCCTTTTCCTTATGACTCAGGGTGAAGTTTCTCTCAGGGAGGAGTGATAGGGAATGGCAAAGGACACACTGACAAAGAAGATTAATCAGAACTGGCTTTGACAAGCACTGTGGCATTTGGACAAGAACAAACTGGGAGGAGGGTAGAGAGAATAGTGCAACAATGAATGAGTGGAAGCCCAAAATCTCTGTAAATGTTTATGAAAATTAATAAAATATAATTATAGGGGAAAAAAACAAAGACCATGGCCTGTATCAGACGCACCTTAGTCTCCAGAGAGGCACCATTGCTCTTCAGTACTTTGGAGAGGTCCCTAACAGCAGACTTTTTCATGGCAATGCGCCTTTTAATTTCCTGGCTACTGGTGCGAAGAGTGTTGACTGTGGAGCCAAGCAAACTAAAGCTGTGTACAATCTCAATCTCTTCACCATCTATCCTGATGCTGCCAATTGGTCCAGTGGTGAGAATCTTTGTCTTCTTGACATTGAGCCTCAATCCATATTGTAGGCTGCAGTCCTTGACCCTCTGCAGCAGGTGCTTCAGGTCCTCTTCAGTTTCAGCAAGCAGGGTTGTGTCTATTAATATTTATATTAAGTATACTACAACTATACTTAATAGAAATATTAATATATTTAATATTAAAAAGGATATTATGTTTAATACAAAAGCAGCTCTCTAAAGTCAATATGAAAAAGGTGATGTAAACTTACTAGGCAAAAAACCACAATCTAAATATAAACTTTGGTCTGGCTTGGTCTGTGTAAGGTAGATCAATTGCTTATCTTCTCCAAGCCTCAGTTGTCCCCATCTTTAAAATAGTTTGAACCCCAAATATTTACTTTGAGGATTAATTTAGGTAATGCTCCCCTGTGGTCTGTACTGACAGCATGACAGGGGTGGGAGAGAAGCGGCCTCATTACCACTGGGCAGCAGTGAAGATCTTCGCTCAGGCTTGACAGCACCCCAGGGAAGGAAGGGTGCGTCAGACTCAGCTGGGGTGGGGTCTTCTCAGAGATGCTTCTGTCTTTTGGTTGGTTGGTTTATGTGTATAGTGTTTGGAGTTTTAAGTTATACTTAGAATGAGAAATAAGGAAAAGTATGTCTACTCCATCTTTCTGAAATAGAAGTTGTTATTGTTGTTGATTGATTGCCGTCGAGTCGAGCATAACTCATAGCAACCCTATGAACAAAAGACCTGAAACCTTTCTATAATTGTAATCATTTCTCAAAGTTCATAGAGTTTCCAGAAGCATATGGTTTAGAAAGTGGATGCCAGTCCTGTTTCCAAGAAATAAGTTACTTATTTTAATAATAGCAGGTTCTCTGTATTAATACAGAAAGCATTCCAGTGTATATGAATAAAGCAAATTGCAGGATAATGCGCATGCTATGACTTTGTCTAATTAAAAACTATATCTTTGGCCATCTATAGGGTTGAGTCTATGGTATGTTCTTACTAGAGTAGCTGGAATGGAGAATTGGTGCAGGAATAAATAAAGCCTTGTACCTGCATCCTTCTACACTTAACTTTCGACACTAACTTTTGAAAGGCTTGTAATACTTACAAAATTCATTTTGTATATGTATTTATTTGTGTTTGCTTAGCAAGAGCTTTGGCACAATACCTTTGAAACTAGAGGAAGAGGAATTACATTTTGGAGCTGTTGAGTCAGTGTGAATTATTGTTGTTGTTAGGTGCCATCTAATCCACTACAGCTCGTCGCAGTCCTACGAAGAGCAGATCTGACCCTTGCCCTGCCCTCCACCATTTTCACCATCTTTGATATGCTCAAGCCCACTCTGTCTTTCCATCTTGTTGAGTGTCTGCCTCTCTTTCTCTGATTTTCCCAGCGAAGATTGGGAATCCCAGAAAATATAATTGTACTCATGCACAACTTACCCTTAGACCAGTAAGCAGTAGTCAGAAAAGAACAGGGAAATAATGCGTGATTCAGGATCACAGTGATTCAGGAAAGCAGTACATCAGGGATTCATCCTATCTCCATACCTTTGCAGTCTATACGTGGAACAGATCATTCGGGAAGCTGGACTTTTATGAGGAATAATGTGGCATCAGGATTGGAGGAAGATCCATCAATAATCTGTGTTATGCAGACGACACAACCTTACTGCTGAAACTGAGGAAGACATGGGGCATTTGCTGAAGGCCAAGGACTGTAGTCTTCAATATTGATTGAGGCTCAAGATCAGGAAGACAGAGATTCTCACCACTGGTCCTACTGGCAGCTTCCTGGTGGATGGAGAGAAGACTGAGATTGTTGGTAACTTCAGCTTGTTTAGTTCCACAGTCCACACTCTTGGCACCAGCAGTCAAGTAATCAAAAGACAAACTGCATTGAGAAAGTGCTGTCAGTGACCTCTAGAGTACTGAAGAGCAATGATGTCAATCTGGAGACTAACGTGCACCTGATCCAGGCCATGGTCTTCGCAGTTACTTGCTGTACATCAGAGAGCTGGACAATAACTAAGGATGACATAAGAAAGATTGATGCCTTTGAGCTGTGGTGCTAGAGAAGAGTGTTGGACATACAGTGGACTGCCAGGAGAATAAACAGGTCAGTCCTGGAGAGGGTGAAACGAAGCTTCTCCATGAAGGAAGGATTTTGAGGCTCCAGCATGTGGCCAAGAGGGACCAGTCCTTGGAGAGGAACATCATGCTTGGAAGGATAGAGGGACAGCACAGGACAGAAAGACCCAGGATGAGATGGAATGACACAGTGACTGGACCAACGGGATTAGGTCTGTTGGAGCCTATGAGATTGGCACAGGACAGAGCAGTGTTCACAGCTAACATACTTAGGTTGCTGTGAGTTGCAGGTGACTCAATGGCACATAACAACAATACAACCCCTCCTGACAATATGTCTAAAGTATATGAGACTTAAGTTTCACTGTCCTTGCCTCTAAGTAGCACCCCTGTTGTGCTTCCTCCAAGACAGACTTGTTTGTTCTTTTGGCAGTCCATGAGATATTTGGTTCTCTTTTCCAACACAGTTCAAAGGTGGTGATTCTTCTGTCATCCTTCAGATGCATAGGAACTTTCAAATGCATAGGAGGTCATTGAAAACATTGTGGCTTGGATCAGGTACACCTTCATCTTTAAACTGATATCATTGCTCTGTAGCACTTTGGAAAAGTCCTTGATAGCAGATTTTCCCAGTACAACATATTTATTGATTTCTTGACTGCT